AGTGTCATGAAATTGATGGTTTTGGTCACATTAGGTCAGAATGTCCCACTTACCTCAAGAAACAATAAAAGGGGTTTTCTGTGTCTTGGTCTGATGATGATGAATCTAAAGATTAACCTGATGTTGAGACTGCTAAGCATGTTACTACTCTCACTGGCAGATGGGGATCTGATGAAGAATATTGTAATGAGAATGTCCTTTATGAAGAACTGGATGTGTCTTACAAGGAGTCATGTGTCAGATGTAAAGAAATTTGTTAGACAGGAGAAAAATAAAAGAGAATCATAGCTCAATTGAAGAATGAAAATAAGAAATTTGTAACTGCTACCTCTGATCCGCAAAATGAGGTAACCTTGTTAAATTCCAAACTTAACAACATGACCAAATCCATAAGAAGGGTGAACAATGGAACTGATATATTGGAAGGGGCTGGAAAATCAACAAATATAAGGTTTAATTACCAATCTCCTAATAAACAAGTCCCTGAGGATAGGTTCATCCCCTTTGTAAGGAAGAAAGTGATCACCATGTATGACCAAATATTACAACATCTTGACAGACATAAGGAAACTCAATCTAAAACCAAGTCTGTACCTTGGAAATGTAATTATTGTGGTACGTATGGTCACATAAAGGCTTTCAGTTACAGACTGTATGGGGTTCAAAAACTTCCAGCTCCTTTTAGGGCTAATTAGACGAGGATGAAAACTAGTAAGAAGAGGAAATCTAAAGGTAGGGATGTTAATCTTATAGCCTATACTTCTTTGAGATCTTAATTTAAAGAAGATTGGTAATTTGTTAGTGGATGTTCTAGACATATGATAGGGGAGCTAAAGGTGAAATTACAGGAGTAGGAAAGTTAGTTTATACTGAACTTTCTAGACTAGATCTTGTGCTTCTGGTGAAAGGACTAACTGCAAATCTGATTAGTATCAGTCAGTTGTGTGATCAAAGCCTAAAAGTTAATTTTACCAAATTAGAATGTTTGGTTACCAATGAGAAGAATGATGTTATGATGAGAGGAGTTAGGTATAAAGACAATTGTTATTGATGGGTACCTCAAGAAAATACCTACTTTTCCACATGTTTTATTACCAAAGAAGATGAAGTCAAGTTGTGGCACCAGAAGCTTGGACATCTAAATCTCAAAGGTATAAAGAAGATTATATCTATAGAAGCTATTATAGGCCTGCCAAAGCTCAAAATTTAGGAGAGTAAGGTATGTGGTGAGTGTCAAATTGGGAATCAAATCAATATATTACATCCAAAGTTACAACACCAGGCTTGGTGCTAGAACTTCTTCACATGGGTTTAATGTGACCAATGCAGATTTAAAGTCTTGGTGGAAAGAGGTATGTCCATGTGGTTTTTGATGACTTTTCAAGGTTTACTTGGGTGAAATTTATCAAAGAAAAATCAGACACTTTTGAGGTTTCCAAAGATTTGTGTCAACGTCTGCAAAGAGAGAAGGATAATGTGATTGTTAGAATCAGAAGTGACCATGGCACGGAATTTGAGAATGCCAAATTCTATGAATTTTGTTCTTCTAAAGGTATCAGTCATGAGTTCTCATCTCCCATCACATCTCAATAAAATGGAGTTGTAGAATGCAAGAATAGAACCTTAAAAGAATCAACTAGAGTCATGTTACATGCTAAAAATATTCCTTATTATTTTTGGGCTGAAGCCATGAGCACTGATACAGGGTATTTCTTGGTTTCTCTACAAACAACAGAGCTTACAGGGTATTTAACTCCAAAACCAAGGTTATGGTGGAATCCATTAATATTGTGGTTGATGACTCGACTATTATGGAAGGAACTGATGTCAAAGAAGTTGTTGGAACATCATATCAACAAAGTGATGTTTTAGAAAATATGGAAGACAATGAGTCCAACATTGATCCAACAGGTACTGAGTCAAATAACCCTCAAGCAAATAAAGTTTCCTCTACTAGAGTTTAGAAAAATCATCTAAAGGAACTCATTATAGGGAATCTTGATGAAGGAGTCACCACTAGGTCTAGAGATGTGATATTAAATTCTTATTTTGTCTCTAAGATTGAACCTAAAAATATGAATGAGACATTGATTGATGAATTATGGATTAATGTTATGCAAGAAGAACTAGGTCAGTTCAAAAGAAATGGAGTACGAAACTTAGTACCCAGGTCTGAAGGAATGAATGTTATTGGTACAAAATAGATTTATAAGAACAAATCTGATGAAAAAGGTATTGTGACCAGAAACAAGGCCAAACTTGTAGCTCAAGGGTAAACTCAAGTAGAAGGAGTTGATTTTGATGAGACTTTTGCTCCTGTAGCTCGTCTTGAATCCATAAGTTTGCTCTTGGAAGTGGCTTGCATGCTCAAATTCAAGTTATTTCAGATGGATGTAAAAAATGTCTTTTTGAATGGATACTTAAATAAACAAGTATATGTTGAACAACCTAAAGGATTCATAGATCCTAGCTTTCCAGATCATGTTTACAAACTGAGGAAAGCTATATATGGTTTAAAGCAAGCACCTAGGGAATGATATGAAAGGTTAACTGAGTTTCTTGTCAATAATGGCTACAGGAAAAAGGAAATAGACAAAACCTTATGTGTTAAGTAAGAAGATGGTAAACTCATGATAGCTCAGATATATGTTGATGACATTGTGTTTGGAGGAATGTCAAACCAGATGGTTCAACATTTTGTCAAATAAATGCAATATGAATTTGAGTTGAGTCTTATTGGTGAATTAACTTATTTTCTTAGTCTTCAAGTTAAACAAATGGATGATTCTATCTTCATATCTTAAAGAAAGTATGTCAAGAATATAGTGAATAAGTTTGGCTTGGAAAATATCAGTCACAAAAGAACACATATACCAACTAACTTGAAACTATCTAAAGATGAAAAAAGTGTTAATATGAATCAAAAGCTATACAAGAGTATGATTGGTACACCTTCCAGACACATTTATAAGCAACAAAAATATTTTAATTCTTGGTCACTATTATAAGAAAAATTCAATTATTACTAAATCATTTAATGTTATAATTCCTAATATACCCCTCTATTTTATTTTTCAACATTCCATTAAATTTAATAAAGAGGACATTATAGTAAACTTAATTAATATTTTAACCAAAATCTAAAAAGTTAACTACACATGATTGAATTTCTTAATAACAGTACAAACTATCTTTGTTGCTTATAAATGTGTTAGAAGGGTGTACTCTATTGTACTTTATAGCCTGTAGACCTGGCATTGTTTTTGATGTAGGAGTTTGTGCAAAATATCAGACTGAACCTAAAATGATCCACATTACTCGAGCGAAAAGGATCTTGAAATACATCAATGGAACTAGTGATTATGGTATGTTGTATTCTCATAGTTCTAATTCAATGCTTGTAGGATATTGTGATGCAGATTGGGCAGGTAGTGATGATGATAGAAAAAGCACTTCTGGAGGATGTTTCTTCTTAGGGAACAATCTTATATCCTGATTCAGTAAGAAGAAAAATTGTGTTTCATTATCTACTGCTGAGGATGAGTATAACTCTGTAGGAAGCAGTTGCTCTCAATTGATTTTGATGAAACAAACGTTAAAGGAATATAATGTCGAGTAGGATGTCATGATATTATATTGTGATAATCTGAGTGCTATCAACATATCCAAGAAAGGAAGGAAGCTTGTTAGCTGCATTTTGTTAAAACAACTAGGTCAACAAGATGTTGGACAAGATGTTGCCACATGTTGGTACGACATCGCAACCTGTATTGTTTCTATTTTTAGAAGTTTTATATCTTGTGTTTCAGAAGATTTGTTTGATGTTTCACGTGGACCAAACTGCGCATATGCAGATTTGATTTATTGAAAATTTGTTTCAAGCAAGAAATATCTGAAGATTTGGTTCTCAATATTGGATGTCAAAAAATTAATGGAAACATTATATTTTACACCAAAAGATTTGATTTAATATGATTTGATTTGCAGATTATTTGATTTGGCCAGATTTAATATCCAAGCCTAGGCGCTTCTATGGCTATAAAAAGAAAGACTCTAAATCTAAAGGATTCACGAAGCTGCATGTGAGAGAATATACTTTAGAGTTTCGTTTGTTCATTGTTTTTTGTGAGTCATTCTTGCATCATGTTGATGCTTGAATTGGACTGAGTTTTGAGTTGTAATTTGTGAATCACTCATAAGCTTTTAAGCAAAAATGGATTATATTTAATCAGAAGTGTGTCTTTTGTCTATTGTCATTGTTGTTATTATCACTATTGTGTGATTGAGGGGAAGTGAGAGTGCTTTTGTATTTAGGAGTTCTTAGATAGAAATAGCACGGGTAGTAATTAGGTGCGAAGTTTGTAAAACTAGAGGTTGTTTATAACTTTAAACTAATACTATTATAGAGGATTTCCTTTCTAGTTTGGATGCCCCGGATGTAGGTAACGTTGCACCGAACTGGATTAATAATTAAATTGTGTTATTTACTTTCTGCATCTTTCTTTATATATTAATTGTTACTTCTGTTGTTACGATGTTTTAACATTGCGCTCGATATTGCGTTGGTTATTAGTGTCATGACATCGTATATGACATCTGTTTTATAAAGTGGCAGAATTTCAATATTAACTGTGTACAATAATTTTACATCAACATCTAGTAAACAATATGTCCATTAAACTTTTTAAAGTAGACCTTTAACTTAGAAATACATTTTTATTGTTTTTAGAAATGTACATGTTAATCAAAAGAATTAGAAAGAAAAACAAACATCAACTCTTATTTTATACCAAATGCACAAACATGGAGTACCATTTTTCTTAGTGGCAGTGACATAACATGGAATAGGATACCTAGATATTCTTTTTGGGGTGGGGTTATACAATTTCATGGACGTTACACTGCCCTTAAGGAATAATTATATTACAAATGCATGCCCAAGGTTTAGACCACACAAAACATGGTAGAATAACAATCAACAAGTTTAGAAAATAGACAAATCAATCAAATCTTGTCCAGCCATGACCTCCAGGAGGGATGGGCCAATCCTCACCACCCGAAATCCGTTTAGATTGAAGGCGAATCCCATTCATTTTTGGGCTTGGGCTTCTTGTTATCGCATGAGCAGCTGTGGCCCCGCTAGAGCCGGATGAGTCATAGCTCAGCCCAATTGTAGGACTCCTTGATGAGCTCCAGTAAGACCCAAATGAAGCCCGATGTTTCGATGGGCCTTGACTCCTAATCTTGGCCTTTGCAGATAGGGTTGGGGCCATATAGCTTGGTACACTGTACTGTCTTTGGTGGTATTTAGATATTGGGCTTAACTCATGATATTCTTGGTTCATTAGGCCCATCATGTCCATTTCAACTGTCTTTTCCTCAGACATGTCATCAGTGGTTGTTGTATATGGTGGGGTCTCATCTGGGGCCAATCCTAAGTGCTTAACATTGTGTGATTGTGATAACATCCAATGTTCCAACCAGTTCCAATCCAATTGAGCTCTTTCACGTTCAGTGACATAGCTTTCAATATCATCAACACTTGGTTCTATATGCAAATATTGCTTTTGTTGTTGCTGCAAACAGATTTATGAACTGTGAAAATCAAAACTATATATTATATGGATTTAACTCATACATATGGTTTGCATAAAGCATTAACCTGACGGTTGAAAGTGTGTGGAAGAGCCTTTTCCTTGATTTTCTGGCTACTTTGACGCCTATAATCCCAACCAGTTATCATAGGATGATGTTGTTGTTCTTCCTCAACTGTTCTTTGATGTTTCTCATGAGTCAATTGGAGTCTGCGGGCTCTTACTCTTCCTTGTACTCTCACCAATGCTTGCATGCATCTCATTGTCATTTGTGCTTGCTTCCGCACATTATGTCCTCTCACAAGTGCTTGTAATCTTACTAGTCCCTTCAAAGCACGCAATGCACGCCGAGCCTACATACACAGCTCAACACCAGTTAAACACGGACTCAGACATATGACACGATACTGACACATATAGACAATGTGTTACAAAATTTTTCCATATAAGTTTACTACAATATATGATATGATATGATAAAAATCAATGTGAATGCAAGGGTCATTCATGTGTTATTAATACATGTAACTGAAAGTTTGAGAGTTGGTGGCTTATATTTATGGACCAAACGAAACTACTGAAGTACTATTAAATGATGATCAACAACTTTACCAAAAACAGATAAAAGAAGACTTACTAGGTATCCTCTATAATGTGATTGAATGAGTATTGCTGCTCTTTCTCCCCTAGAGTTACGTCCGTAACCAGACAATCTCACTACTCTAGCAGCTGCCACTGCAGCCTCAGCTGCTGCTGCTGCTGATACTGCATAGGCAATAGCATGGTTTCTTTCTTCCGTCATTGGTGTCGATGTGGTACTTCCTTCATTGGTGATATCTGGTGAACTATATGCAGGAAAATGCTCCATAGATACTTCCTCTGCTACTTCATTCTGCCAACTCTCTTCCTTTTCCTTCTGAAAGTAAAAAAAAAAATCAACATAAATTAAGCTCTTGTTTGAATAAACATGTATAACACAAGTACTTATCATATGAGTGTTTATAGAAATATGCTGAAAAAAACTTCTGATGATCCGTTTATATTTGAGTTATTTGAGTTTATCTGTGACACAAATACTTATGAGATTGTTTAGGAGAGTTTATAGAAACAGCTTAAGACGTAGCGATAAGTTATTTTTAGTAATTATACTATACATAAACTCAAATTTAACAATCCAAATGGTCCCTAACTCATAATCAACAATCATTTGAAAAATCTTATACAATAATTAAGCAACTAACTAGCTGGATGGATATTAGTTTAAGTTGATGGAGATCTAGCATAGGAAACACATGATGATGAAGATGAATGATGTGATATGTTAGGTTGTATGACAAGTATGTGACAGAAGCAAATACTAACAAAATTATGTGATACATGTTAAGTTCACATGATAGGGGACCATGTCGACATATAATTACATACTGAATTGGGTTGTTGGTCCTAAAGGCAAGGTAGATTCATCCTTTATGTGGTTCCATAAAAGACAACAACTACAACTAAAAAGTTCATTTACTGTACTTATTATGTAGGAGATGTTATCCTTTAATGTGAAAGGTACACACACTGCCATAATAATATGTAGCATTACTTATGCTGCAGGTAAACAATTTGGTTTCTTGGATATTGAACAGATTAAGTGTCATGCATGACTCATTCATTATACCTAATTACTTATTAAAACTAAAGTCATTAAAGAAACTAAGATTCTTATTTGGTAAAAAAGTACGTCACTTAATGAGAAATTACCAAAAGAATTTTTACTAAATTAAAGGATGAAAATAATATATGAACAATAGGGGAATGAATGGATGAGTGAGTGACCTTGTTTTCCGGCACCGGCGAGTCCTTAGAAGAAGACTTGAAAACTTTCTTCACTGATGAGAACCAGTTGCTTCCTTTCTTACCCATCTAAGAGGAAGAGCTATGTCTCTTATGGCCATCACAATCATGATTATTACATTATATACATCAACAATGAAGACAACATGTTAGAATCTTAATAAAAACGGGATAAGGTTGTTGTTACCTTGTCTTTTTGTCATTAAAAGAAGCTAGAATGAAAACCTCTTTTTTGGAACGTAGACCTTAAACATATTATGTATATATCCAAGTGTTTGAGAAAGATGAGTTGTGTGAATTACAAACCTGTGGTTTCTGAGATGAATGTTGTGTTGTTGGTAGTTACTGGTCCTTCATGTGTTGTGTGTGGCGGCATTATTGAGATTCATGGGACAGTTATGTTTGGTGATGTAGAAAAGTGATTAGAGTTGTGAAATATGAATCGTTATGCAAAACAAGGTGCGGAGAGAGATGATGGTGAGGATTCTGTGACAGAGAGTGTGTATATAATTAATAAGGTCAAAGAGATTACTCTAGTAACTAGTAGTAGTAACTCTCATCGGTGGTACAAACGGGAAATGAAATTCTATATATTTTTATACTCACTTGAGTGACATGTAGCTTTCAATGCTTTTGATTTTAACCTTCCTCCTAACTAAATTAAAATAATTCTACTGAGTTGTGATAGGAAACATAAAAATCGGAATCAAACTTGGACTAATGAATAAATACCATGACTAAGCCTTTATCAAAACAAAAAATACAGTCAATACTATTATTTCTTTTCTTTTAATCAATTTTTTAATAATAGGAAACAAATTAAATAAATAAAAAAAGATGTTTTTTTATAATACACTAGTGCAGGAAATACATTTTACATCGGATAAAATTTTTTTTTTACATCGGATCTTGGTTCGATGTAAATCCAAAACGATGTAGTAAATCAAAGACATTTTATATTGTGCTATAATAGTCCGATGTAAAAACTCAACCTATTACATCGGTTAGTTCTTAGAACTGATATAAAAAAAAATAAAGGCAAGCTTTTACATCGGTTTCTTTGATTCACCGATGTAATAAATTGTTTTTTACATCGATTTTCTTAATATACCCGATGTAAAATATTTGTTTAATCTGCCATATTTAACTAAATCAAGTGCATTCTCGGAATTTATTTATTTGTACTTAATTTTTCATATTTTTCCAACATCACAACCACATTTAGGTAATTTTTTTCCATATTTTTACCACAACACTGATCATATTTAGGTCGCTAATTTCATATTTTTCTAACCAGTAAAGAATAATTTCATTGCACAAAATATCTAGGATGCACACACACACACATATATATATATATATATATATATATATATATATATATATATATATATATATATATATATATATATATATATATATATATATATATATATATATATATATATATATATATATATATATATATATATATATATATATATATATATATATATATTCTTCAAAACGAACCATTGAGTTATAAAAGTACTAATGTAGCATAAGTGTACAAAATTATAAGAAAGTTTACAAAAGATGGATTACTATAACAATAAAATCAATGAAATTATACAAAAATATCTACACTTGAAATACCAACATGCAATCCACAAGAAGATGAATTGCAGCTTTAGTAGACAACACCGAAATCACATCTGCTAACAATAAATAATAACACCAATTAACATGAGCACACAACACCAATATCAAAAAACTCAAATCAGATATGTATAGACAATTATATATAACTCACCAGTTCAAGCTTAATTTTTATATAACTCAAAGAAACATTTTGTCCAACGGAATCGCAAATCATATAAATCATCTTGTGTTAATTCTGTTGGGTCATCAAATACCTACCATGCATAAATAACAATATATACTTATTCTTTAAAAATTCACATTAAGTTGCAAAACGCAAAGTAACTATAAAAGTAAAGTTTTTTTATTACTTGCATCCAAGAATCAGTTATATTGGCAGAGACAATATCCAACATATTTTTCATCACATAATATCCATAATCACTAGAGTTATGTTGTCTTCTTGTCTAGACATACAAATGACATAATTAATGAATACTTGACATAAAATTAAATATAAATTTGTAATATACATCACACTTATATTAGGATGAAGCCATGTAGTCTTTTTTCTATTTCCATTTGTCATTTGATGAACCCCAAAAACACTAATTTAGAAGGAAAAAAAACATATAAAGCCACATAAAATAGGAAATTACTTTTGTAACAATTTATGTATACAAGATATATAATATATTATAACAAAAGTCACAAGAGACAAACTTACCTTGTAATAATTTTCTTGGTGATTTGATCAATTTTCCAATAAAATGAAAAAAAGACGACAACAATATTTTCTCTTGGACAAATAACTATTAATTGCCAATGAGATCTGTACGTGTGTGGAAACACAAAAGACACATAAAATATCTATGTTATCAAAATAAAAAAATAGAAAACTCAATTTCAAAAAAACTTACTTATGAACTAATGGTAGTAAGTGACACACTTTGTTTTCGTCACGTAACTTATCTAGTATGTATTTTTTAAAATCTCCTTCAAATTTCAGCACATTATCAATATATATACACCTAGTAGGATCCATAAATCCATATACTTCTGATGTGGAATTATCAATACATATACAATGAATATACCTGAATAATTTTAATATTGACTTTAGAATAAAAAAAGAAAATGTACTCACGTGCACCAAACTTGCAGAACGGACACATCAAGCCAATGAATGCCCACCAACAATTCTCTGATACACTTAGCTGGCATATAGAAATTAGTGACACTCACACAATGACTTAATTCCATTTGCAAATGTGTGTCAGCCATTTTCAGAACCATGAGTAACAATCTCTGAACATCGTCAACTTCGAAGTCTTTTGTGCTTCCTTTTGCAACTGAACAACTTCCTTTTTCGCTTCCATCAACAACTTCTATTTTTAATGAATTTATTATTATCTTCGCTTTATGATAAACCGATAGACCTAACTGTCTCCATTAAAGATTGTTGGATTATCTTACGCTCTTCACACAACTTTTGCTCAAAATCAGCTTTAATTCTTGCTTCCAATTCAGATGAAATTTGTGCAAGTTGTTCATTTACATCTAAATATTGTCCTTGACGTGAATACGACATTCCAAAGTAAGTACTTTGTTTTTGGTGTTTTCTAACACCACGAACACGACCGCCATGCTCAGATGTTCCAATGGCTGCTGTTAAGGTATCGTTACGTCCTTCCGGAATAAAGGTGCCTTTTTCAGACTCTTCAACTAGAGAATCCTACGTAGGAAATAACCACAACTAATTTCCTTAGTTTTTATCACACAAATAGAATGATACTTGAAGTGTTTTCCAAATTCTACTTACAATTTTCTCAACAACAACTTGTGTAGACTTTGATGTGTATTCTCCCCCTTTATTTTGTCTTGCTCTCTTTCATAACTCATAGTGTGACGGTGGACATGCACTGCCAGTATCATCTAATGAAGAATCAGTCGTCGATGACTTCCTTTCATTCATAATTCTTTTCTCAAGCAATTGATACCCTCCACGTGATAATACATGTGGGTATACATTTCTAGCCACATTTTTCATACCCTTTCGACTTTTTTGCTATTATAACATCAAAAAGTTATTAATCACTAAACATAATAATAATCTTATGCATGAAAATAATATAACTTCTACTAACCTTAAATTCAAAGGTATCTTGAGTCTTGAGAAACTCTTTTCATGTTTCATCTTTAATATAACTATACTTGATATGTGTAGAAGGGAGATCTTTCTTGGGCTTTTTAATATATTGATCTATGAGTTGTGTCTTAAAACCTCTCCATCTATCTCCTGCATATTTAATCCATTCTTTCTTCCACGGATCCTTCTTTGGATCTTTACATTCTAGAATAGTGAAATAACCCTACACATATAGTATACGACATATGTTGTTAATTAGTATATGATTATAAAATATAATAAAGTGTTGAATTTAAAATACCTTAACATCAACCCAAATAACATCTTTTATGGCGTCATCTGCGTCTTTCCACTCATTTTTCAAAATACTACAATTCTGCTGAGAAAGAGATGTTATATAACTCTTAAAATTTGTAGCATTTTTACCAACACCGGTACATTCACAGGTTCTTGGATCAAACTCAACCTTTACCTTTTCACCCGTTTGATGAACTTTGTCAATTTTTTCCATCAAAGTGGGACCTCTAACTCTTCTTTTCTTAGGGTTACTAGATGAAGAAGGGTTGTCAGTTGAATCGCCCATGTATCTGTTTACACAAAATAAAAGCAATTAAAAGTCAAATTAAGCACAAAATAAAAACATTTAGACATCAAAGTGAGCACAAAAATAACAACATTTAGACATCAAATTAAGATCAAAATAAAAACAATTAGGAATCAAATTAATGTTGAAATAACTTATAAAAAAATCGTACTAGTCCTCCCATATCCCTTCTTCATGATCTATGCGAACAACATGCACATCATCCTCTTCATTTTATTCAATGAAGGCAGGCACATTTGTTGAAAAAGGAGGAGTTTCGGAAATATCAAGATTCGCATCTTGATTTTCATCAATACCATGAACCTTTTCCCTGTAAAACCACTGACCACCTTTTATTAGAAGGATATGTGACATAAAACACTTGTTTTTCTTGAGATGCCATGATGAAAGGTTCGTTCGCATAAGCTAACTTGCTAAGATCAACCAGTGTAACTCTAAATTCATCGATTTTCACACCACTGTTGATATCAATCCATTTGCATTTAAATACAGGCACTTTAAACACAACATAATTAACTTCCCAAATCTCTTCAATCACCCCAAAGTAACGTGTAGATGCCATAACATGGTTTTTATTTTTAGCGCTAGAGAAGTGCGTGGACTCAGCTATAATCATAACCCCACTATTTTGTGTGGTACTACAGTCGTCCTTTGACTTTGTATAAAAGGAAGTTTTATTATTATCATATCCACTCT